CGGAAAGGGATTTGGGGGGGAGATGGACCCAACACTACAACTCAGTCACACTGTTTATTAGAAAAGACAAAGTATAAAGTCAAACATAGGCTTGAATTACTTTATGAAAGGGAAGAAAAACTCACCCTCTCCTTACAGAGTGCTGTACTTAAAACCCCCAATCATTCAGTATTACTACAGGGCAGGTTTAGTCAACCAACTGTTCAAAATTTTAGAAAGTTTTCATTTGTAATTTTTAAAATATTAAATATTTTTTTATTATCAGCCAAGTACAGTATATCAATATTATGTGTCCATATTAACACTGTTTATCATTTGTATCAATGCCAGTAGTACCCTTGGAGGGTGGGGGGTAGAGTTTGAGAGTTCTGTGCAGTTTAACATCAAAACTACACACTCCTGTAAATATTACACAAAATGCAGAGCTGCAAATCTTCCTTTCAACTATGAATAATTCTGTTTACATCATCATTTACAGCAGCTTGAGGCTACCTTCAATTCTCTTCTTTTCAGTACTTTCAGAACAGAACATAGAATTACAGAAAAAAAAATACTGAAAGCAATTTAAAGGTGTCGAATTTGTTATTTCTCAAACTCGCAGGAAGTCTCCATCAAGAGCACAATGAGTGTCTCACAGCCCTTGCTTCAAGATAGTTTAGGCTGCACATGGTAACTCTTGTTCTGGAGAAGCTGTAAACTCAAATCCAGGGAAAAACTTTTTTTCCTTCCCACCAAAACCAGTTAACTTTGGGCCATGAAAGAACGCAGGCCATGACTTGAATCACTTCAAATATAGCATACACTCACCTGAAACAAAGACATCTACCTATTTTGAAAAGTTTCTTGTTGTTAAAAAATTATATAGATAATTCCTCTACTGATACTAAACAAACCACTTCTGATTAGCAAAAAGATTAAAAGATGCCAAGAAATGTCAACTGTGCCACAGTATGTTTTTACATGAAAGACTGGCCCATGGGTTGCAAGTAGGAGAGAAGGGTAAAAAGAAATCTCTTGTTGGTTCTTGCAGAATCATTAAATACACCCTACCCTTTCATTTCAAGAAAGCCTTATGAAAAGAAACTTGAAATAACTATTTCTAACTCTTAAGTAGGGTTTATATCTCCACTTGCCATCATTTCCCCACATGGAAAATTTGTTTTCCTAGGTAACCAAGAAGATACCTGAAATCTTATAAAACATTTTTAAGACCTGTGTGGCTGCTCTTTATCCACCTTGGACATATTCTCCATTTAGGGCTCACAGCACTCCCCTTGAACAGATAAAGCAAACAGATTTTTTTTTTTTTTTTTTTAAACCCTAGCTATTTTTCAACCCGCTAGCTCCATTTTATCACAAATAAAATTATATATCCTTTTCTAGGATATCTGATTTGTATGTACATCCAATTTGTCCACACTGATGGACACACTTACACACAGATACAGCAACAGTGATGTCAAACACCACTCAATGGCTACTCTGTACTGCCACTGCTTATCACACACAGATGTTAAACCAAAACCTTCCTCAAGGCTCAAAAGTCACAGGACTTTTGCTTCCTAGAGTGTAAGACCAAGTGATCACAGTCCACTTCCTCTAGCCTTTCAGGCAGTGCGTTCCTGCA